ACTCTGAATATCAATGCAGGTGTATCTTGACTGTCTCCTCCAACAGAGGAAATTCTCCAGCTGACTGTAACTCTAAATAGAAAATGTAATGTACATGTGGAATCTTCTGTTATTTGAATGGCAGTTTATCTCGGATCTCAGAGCAAGCTTTTCATCTAGCTGACAGATGCAAACACTGATCAGGGTATGCTATGTGTCGTACAGACAAAGGATTTCCACTTCAGCAGCCACCCCATGAGCCAGGCGAGCACACAGCATCCCTCAACATGTCTCTGTTGGCACGCTTCATCTGGTATGGGTCAAGACCTAGCTTACCCTTTCCCTGCAATGCAAATTTGCTAAGAGACATGTAAGTGTACTCATTTCTGCATAGAGGCAGCATGGACACCTTTCAAGGTCCAATCCATGCAATTTGGATGGAGTGGGTATGGCTGGGACCAGGGGCACAGTGGGCTCTAAATACCAACTGCTGATATTTTACTTCCCTGAGCATCTCCCCTCAGCCAGCTGAGCAGAGTCCTAATGGGTCAGTTCCACAGAAAACGGTGACATTTCCACTCCAGGAAAAAAAATAAACAAACGCATACAGCCAGAACCACTGAGTTGTTTGAAAGGATAAAATGCACTTAGAAACCCCCCTGTTCCAATTCCCAAGCAAACATGTCCATGGTAATTAAATGGAGTGCTTTCACCCAGAACAGCTCCAGCATGGGAAAGGGTTTTAATGCACTGACCAAGGGGGAAAATCAACTTGCAAGAAGAGCTCTGGCTTTGTCCCCTGGGCCTGGGCAGGGGCATGGCTTAACAACCTGTTTTAACCAAATTGCTCTCAAAAAGCAGAAAGGAAAAAACTCTCTGGCAAGTCTGACCCTTGGGCATCTCAAAGATACAGGCACAAACTGTGTGAGATGCTGGCTTATATGAAAGAAAAAAAGGGAGAAACAAAGTCTCATTTGGGGAGCGGAAAATAAAGGAGGGAAGAGGACAGGCAGATCATCTGCTGGATGGTGGAGCTGGATTCAAACTCGTCCCAATGCATGATGGCTCCAAACAGGACCCATAAATCATGCCCAGTGAGAGCAGTTTTCAGCTGGACTTCAGCATCCCCTTAGCCAGCTCCCTGCTGTGACCATACTCTGTGCTTGGTTTATTTGTTTAGGAGACTCTTTGAGGAAGGAAGAACATAGGAACTCACTGCACCTGAGGAACCAGACAAAATAATTAGCAACATCAGTGAAAATAAATTAAACATGCACCAAAAGAATGGGAAATCTTCATTCCCAGCCTCTGGACAACACTCTGCAATGGTGATGCTGGAGACAGAGGGTGGTGTTAAACTATCCGTCACAACAAGAACATGGAAATTCCAGCGGCACCGCACACATCTGCACAGATGGGAAAATTACAGTTACTGCTTTGGTAGTATGACAAGTAATTTTTTTGCACCCCAAAAAACAACTCTATAGTGGGAGGAATGTGTCAGCTGCAATTTTATCACTTAATGAAATAAATCAACCAGACGAAAAGAAGAGATGAGGACGAACCCACACAGTCTCATGGGAATACAAATCCACATGAAGCCAGCTGCTGGTGAGCAAACATCTTGTCTCAAAGATATTGGAGCCACCTTTGGGGTGGCAACAACAAATTCCCCAAGTGGGGAAGCATCCTTGAACTTTCTCCAGCCTCTGGGGCTGAGGTTTCAGGAACACATGGCCACTGAGCTACAAAAAGGCAATTTCTTGATCGGCTGAGCAACAACCTCAGGGGACTCTGAATTGAGTCCTGCTCTTCCTGAGCATCCTGTTGGGATGCTGCTGTGTCTCCTAAATGGAGCAAAACTGGAAAACCTAGGAGGCTGATATCTGTAGGATGAGTGGAGAGTGGCAGCAGAAAGAGTCAGAAAGAAAAAGCAACGCAGAAAGGCTGGGAGAAACATCATGGCCTAACCCGGCAAAGATGAGGAAACAATGCTGGCACTCACCAAAGACTAAGTAGACTGAGTAAAACTAGAGCAGAAGAATCGGAGCAAGGTTTGGCTTCCACTCCCTTGTCATGTAAAGGAGGCAGCAAGTGTATGGCAGGTAAAGAAGGAGCTTTCCGCAGCTGGAGCCCAAGACAGCCACCTTTAGCCAAGAATACGTAACACTGTCTGATAAGATAATCCCCAAATGCCCATAGCACCCATCTCTGCAGAATGGAGATTTTACAGCAGAAAATTGATTTTCAGAGGCTCCCTCATTAATTTTCATGGCACCCACAGTGTGGTTTTAGAACAAGCAGAATTATTAATGTTCAAAGTTACTTGAGCACTGTTGGGAACACAAGGCCCTCCAAGAGTCAAAGCGGGTCTGAAAAACTGGGGAAGTAAAAGCCAGAATTGAGCAGGTACATCCTTCAGGGCTCAGCTGGGCTTGCCCTCAGAGGCAGGCAGAGGGAGAAAAGCAGAAACCCTGGAGAAAATTCCCCATGCTCCATTGATGGCTCTGCTGTTTGGAAGGGAAAAAATACCACAGACATTTAGCTTTCAAAAGTGGGGAGAACTGTCTAATTGACTAGTTCAGGGCTGCCCTGATTCTGAGCCACCCTCGGCTTCTAGGGAGAGGGACAGTAGGCAATTAGGAAAGGCTGAATATTCACGAGGGATAGAGCTTGCTGGTGGCTGGCAATGATGCTCTTGCCCTTGAAATCACATCTGAGCTTTGGTGACATCTCAGCTAATTAATGAGAAAACCAGCACAAGTCTCCCAGATTGAAGTATTAGCTCTGGACAGACATAAACCAGTACCCCTAAACTATCCTGAATTATATCCTGGCTAACACTGGAGGGAGGATAGGAGCCAAACAGCTGCAAACACATCTCCATCTTGTTCTCCTCCGTCTGCCTTTGCACAAACATCCTCATTCCCAAGCATCTCAGTGCTTTTGGGCTGCCCCACGCCCATCTCCTGCTTCTGCCTGCCTCCAACTATCCCTAATGACATCTACTGCTTCGTGTCTCCAAACACAAGATTCCACCACAGCAAGCTGGAGGATTTTGCTGTGCCAGGGGATACTCGTTGGCTGGCACCATATCATCTGTGATCTCGCCCCATTGGAGCAAGAGAAAATAAGTACCATTTGTTAACATGCCAATCGTTCTTTACACTGGCTGATTAAAAAATAATTACCCGCAGCCATTATTGAGCACTCTTGCAAATGAGCTGTGGGAAGCTGTGACCGTGCGCTCAGCACACAGTGTGCCTTGCCTGTTTCAATATTATTTTAATTAAGTATCTGGGTGAAAGGCCTTTCTAATGTAACTTTCATCATCAGAGGGCAGGCCTCCACACTCACCTGAGAGGTGCCGGACTGGTGTAACCCAGCATCGCTTCAGGCTGCTTCCAGTGTGGTGGCACAGTGCAACCTACTGCTTATTCAAATTCAAAAGGAGCGACCTTAGGCAGACCCATGAGGAGAAGAGCTCTCGTCTACATCCCAGGGACATGGTTACAGCAGAGAGCTGGAAGGCATCACTAAGCCCTCAGACTGATTAGCTACGGACACATGACTTGGGCTGGGACGTGGACAGGGTTAGGGTTAGGAGGTGGAGGCAGTAGCCGAGGACATCCCTTATGCCTGGGAGACTTTGAGCTGGTTTTCTTGCCTGCAGAAGAGACCAGCACTGCTGAGGCAGGCTGGCCCTCCTGGATGGGCAAGAGCAGAGGACCTCAGTGAGAAGAGGTCTGGGAGAGCTTCATCGCACTGCAGGATCACAGGCACACAGCACACCTTCACTTGCCATGGACTTTTTTATGTTCTTTTCACAAAACACTTTGCAAAAGAAAAACACAGAAGAGGTGGAGGAAAGCCCACGCGTGCTGGTTGCCCATCCGCCTCCCACAGCTGCCTTTGTGCATGACTCAAAGCAGCCACATTAGGTAGTTCCACCTCATTCTTATTTACGTGTTTTCCCCTTTCTGCATCCCAGCTGGGGCTGTATTTAGCAGAGCACACAGTGACCGTGCTTTTTTGGGGGGGGGGGGGGGTGCCCTTTCACATGTGCTTACATTCTCTCATGTAGCATTTGAGCTGCAGCACTAGTTTCAATTATCTCTTGTTTGCAAGCAAATTAACTCAGCAAGCACATTTCAGATCTTCAAGCCGGTGTAAAACTAACAAACATTGCAGAGAAGAAATCAAATTACCACACAGATTCAAGCCATATGAAACAGCCCCAGAGGTTCCTCTTGATCTCTCAACTGTCTCTTACCTGTCAAAATTCCCTTGCCAGTTATTTCTATCAGGATAAAAAGAAGCTCCTGAGCAGGTAAATCCTTTCAGACCTGGCAACAAGGAATTGCAGCAGGGTTAGGGCTTGATGCTGAGCCTGGGGCTGGGTCCTTGCCACATGCACCGTTTTGGAGGATGCAAAACCTGAAGAGTAATAAGGTTATTGTACACAAGAAGAAAATTCTTCACAATGAGAACAATCCGCTATTGGAATAATTTCCCCAGGAAAGCGGTGGATTCCCCCGCACTGAACATTTAAGATTCAGCTGGACAGGGTGCTGGGCCATCTTGTCTAGACAGGGCTTTTACCAAGAAAGGCTGGACCAGATGATACTTGAGGTCCTTTCCAACCTGATGTTCTATGATTCTATGAAGACGTTGAGAAAGGTGCAGCTATAACAGGCTATCATAGCCCAAATTGCTTGCAGTGAGGTGAATAAATGATCTCTTACTGTTTCTTTGGCAGAGTCGGGCTGGTAGTCCTCTACTCCTGAAACAACACAGAAATGACATTGCTTTTTGATCAAATCAACCCATTTCCCCAACCAATTCTTCTTTGTGAGTTGAGAAATGCATTAATACCAGTAGACACTCCAGGAACCTGAAACCCTGAGCTTCAGACTTTGAATAGACAGGAAAAAAAAAAAAAAAAAAAAAGAAAAATCAGAGGGGTTTTCCCTTGCCTCCCCAGAAACATATGTTCTCACCCAGCTTTTCTTGGCAGAAGTAAATAACACATTTCCCAAACAGCTCTAGTTACTGCAGATGACTTCATTTCCCATCTCGGACACTGCTATGGCAGAAATCTAGGAGAACTGATTAGACCACATTAGGTTAGATAGGGAGCCTGGTGATGAAAAGCTGCTGCTGCTGTCTCTGCACCCATTTGAGACCATTAGTGACCTCCTTCCCTCTCACCAGGGATGCTGCCCCATTGCTGAATTCTGCTTTAAGTGTCTGCACCGTGTCTCTCAATTTCATCCTGCAACCCACAATCACATTTTTCCCCTGTGTGCGCTTCCCCCACTGAGGTGAGCTCCAGGAAAACAGGAAGGAATTGCTGTATACATAGTTTATCAACACACTTTGGGACCCCTTGGGATAAAGCTTGCTGGATCAGTGCACTTTGCTATTATGAGGATGTTGATGAGTATCCTACTATCCCCTAAAAGCCAGCCTAGACATTTCCAAAGCCTCTTTTATTTTTTTAATGCAATAACACTTCCGTGTAGCTTTCCCCAGGTAATTGCTGTTTCCAGTGTAGTTTCATACTAGGTCACTCAGATAACCTGGAAAGAACCATTTGCCAGTCCCTCCTGTCTTCAGCATAAAGCTACTAAATCTTATTTGCTACCACATTAAGCTGGCTGAGAAGGGAGCAAGGGCTATGGATGCAGTGCAGTATGCTCTAACAGTCCCCTTTATTTTATATTTCCTTGGATAATTTCATGGTCCATTAATTTCCTGTAGTTGCTCCCTGCAAACACACACACGTCACCATGGTGTGTAAGTCTCCTTCTCGCTAGCACAGGGACCAGGCAGATTACACAAGTAGTGGTTACACCTGCTCTGGGGGCACAGAAAAAGTGTCTCATCTGCATCCAGTGCAATGCAGAGATGCTGATGTCCACTGCAGTTGGTACATGTGAAATGCACATGTGCATGCACTGAGCTGAACTACTGGGTGAGGGCTGGCCCAGATTGCCCACGCCCCAGCACAGCACGGTTTGTATGACACCCATCTGGCAGAGGCACAATGTAGAAAATACACTAGGGAAAGCATGGCAGAGGAAGCAGAGGGTGCATTCCCCACCAGCCAGGCCCTCAGCTAGAGCAGGAGCATCCCATCACACTCCACAGGCAGAGCAACATCTGACCAGCCCCAGCTCATAGCAGCTCACCCCAAGCAGCCTACAGGTCGCAGTGCCCACAACATCCCACTCTTGCAAAGAACGCAGCTAAAGCCTCATGTAAGACTGCTGCACTGGAACCCAAGACAAAATCTTTCCCTTATTTTTAAATCATCTGGTGGAAAAAAAAAGAAACAAATCTGTGCATGAGGACTTTGCAGCTGCATTATGCTAGTTAGTTCTGAAACTTGTGGAATTAGGGAGCCGCTTCCTGGCAGCAAAGTCTGTGCCCAGAAGCTGCAAACCTGAATTTGCAGGGAGAGATGATTCTGTCCCCCAGGAAGAGGCTGGGGGCAGCAGGATGGCAGCCCTTCTGGACAGGCACAGTGTGGGTGGAGGGGACTGATAAGACTGATGTCTCTCCAAAATGACAGCTTGCTTGGAGTTCGCTTTCTCTCTCGGACAATTGAACTTCGACAAAAAGAGCCGGAACAGAATGTGAATCCTGCCGAGAAAGGAAAAAAAAACAAACCACAACCCCCAGCAGAACAAAGGGAGGGAGGCAGACTTGGTGGATCTAAAACACAAAGAAATGTTATTCATGGGCATTATTGATTAAGTTTTCCTCACCAACACATACGTAAATACTTATCTCTCAGATGAATAAGAGGCTCTGTAATGCTGGAGGGAAGAAGGGAAAAGATTATTGAAAATGTGAGGGTCAGAGAAGCATCCAGCTGCAACGGATGCATTGAGAAGATAAACAAAGACGTCTTTGCCAACACACTGGTCTGCCAAAGACCAAGTGTGATAGAAGGCAGCGATTTTCAGGCACTAAAAGCAATGCTTGGGCTTTGATAACAGTAAAATAGAGATTATGGAGCAGATCCTCACCTGGGTTAATTCAGTGCCAGGGCTCCAATCACAGGGCAGCTAGACTGATTCACATTGTCTGAGGATCCTGCTCACTTTGGACAAAGCAGCCCATTAGCAGAAGGGCAGAAGCAGAGATTTATGACAACCTCTGTAGGGCAGGAACAAAAGGGAAGAGCAACCATGAGTGGGATCAAAGGAGAAAGAGGAACGGGCTCTGACTCATCAACACCCCCAAACCTGCCTGACCCCTCGGTACTACCCCATCCCCAGTGCTGCCTTGCCTGCTGCCACACGGTGGAGCACATGGGCCCTTGTCTGAAAACAGCTCCTGCTGAGGCTGGCTGGGTTAGCAAACATGCCAAATCCAAGACTAGATCTGCCCCCATGAGCCAAACCCAGTGTCTCATGTAGCACCATGCAAAGCAGGTTTGGCAAGCAGAGCTGAGACCCCCAAACACCCTAAGGGTGCAGACAGGAAGGTTTGGTGCATTTAGTGATATCAGCCTTGAAGCACTGGATACCTCTGAGGGCTATGAGGGACCATCAGGATCATCTGTTCTGGCATCCAGCAACCCTGTGGGATCAGCTCGTGCATCCTGTCTGCAGTCCGTGGCTTCATCACCATGACTTGCTCTCCAGGCAGCAGGACTGTCTCAGGGACATAGTCAACCTGCTTAGCAAGCTCAAGTCTGACTTGTCTACATCTATATCTACATCTGCCGTGGGGAACAAACAGTGAGCAGTGTTCAGGCAGGATTTCCACTGACCAGGACATTGCAGCTAGTGTGCTGACAGTGGATGCCCAGCAAGGAGTTAAGATGAGGCCAAGCTCCCCCCAGCACTGGAGCACTCAGCAAACACCAGCACAGGCGTTGGGCTTGCATAGGTGTGCAAGTGCAGGATTGAGGGTGCACCAGGAGACACCACAGATCCCCCAGAGAAGCTCTGCTGCTTCAGGCCAGCTCCAGCCATCAGGTCTGCCCAGCTGTACAGAATGAGCTCAGGTCTGCGGCTATTCCACACACAGGTTTTGTTTCTACCCCCTCGTGTGGCAGCAGGCAGAGCCAGACACTGGCCCTGAGCTGCAGAGCTGGCTTGCCATCAGCTAAGCCAGCCATTTCCATGCACCGCTTTGTGCCTCAGTTTCTCCGTCTATAAACAGGGACACAAGTGACACCCCTGAGAGCAGGCTTGCTGTGGCTCCTGCTCAATCCACTCACAGAAGTATAAAAAAAGACTTCGTGGCTTTTCCTATCACTTTCCCCCAGCGTCTAAAACACAGGCAGCAGCGCTGCTGTTAGCCCCAACGAGCAACGGCTCAGGAGCTGGAGCAGGGCAGCCTCTAGTGGCTGCACGCCAGGAAATACCGGTCCCCAAACCCGTGTTTAGGAAACGTTTGCTCTTCAAAGCAGCTGGCCTGAATAAACCACAGCCTGTGCTGCTCCATTGCCCCAGAGCCAAGAAGTCCTCGGGCTCCCCGTCCCTGGTTTACATCTTTGCCTCCCTGCTGCTCACATATTGCTCCCATTTTCTCCTCCACAAGCCTCCAATCCCATGGGCTTCTGCTCTGCCCGTGCAACCACAGGTACCAAAAGCAAATGTGTCCCAGATCTCATGAATGTGCCACACGACATGTCCACAGGGCTCATTAGCATCACTGGAAATAGCTCCAGCCCTGGTGCAGATTTGGCCATGCAGCTGACTGTGGTTAGCTGCTGGATCTGCAGTACAGTCTCTGATTGCTGGAGCTGACTATTGATAGCAGATCCATTCAAATTCATGAATGCCCCATCTGGAAAAGCACGGCCTTTTCTGCTGCAGGGTACTCTGGCCCTAGGAGATGCACACTGGCCTCCGTTGCTTGGGAAACAAGGCTCCCCTGGCCTGTCCTGGGAAGGGAAGCTCAGGAATGGAAAGACCAGTCCTACTCTTAAAATTGCATCTATGGCCAGAACTTCCAGTGCCCCTTTTGCTGTCTTGACCTACCTCTACTGACAAAACTTTGTCTTCCAGGTGGAAGGCTCATGCTCTGCAATCATCCCACAGCTCCATCATAAGGCCTTCAGCTTCCCCTCACACAGGACATGAAAATGAGCAAAACAAGCCAGGTGAGGAAAAAATCCTCCTGGCTGCCTCCAACAACCACTTGGCTTCACCTCAGCACATCTCCGCTCTCTGCCTTATCCCAGTTTTACTGGTGAGTCAGAGCTCTCCATCTAACGGTTGAGCATCACACTGGGGGTGAGATAAGAAAGGCAAGCAAGGACCAGGCTGTCTGTGGGACATATCAGAGGACAGACACCTAGACACAGACATGTAAATCAATTGGAGAGTGGATAAAACAGAAGAGGAGCTCTTTAACACACCAGTGTGGGATGGTTACTTGCCACAAGTTGGACAGAATGTTTTCCTGCCCCATGTTTCAGGGTGATGACCAGTAACATGGCACAGGCTGTTTAACTGCTGGCTGCTGATTCATCAGTTACGCAAGAAGCAGTTTAAATGCAGTTTATGTCAATAATTCAGGCAGCAGTTTTGCTTTTAGAACTTCCTAAAATGAAAAAGGGTTGGAGAGAGAAATCAAGCAAAGAGGTCTCTCTGTAACAAAGAGACCCACGTGCATCTTAAGTTGCATGCACCCAGGGACCTAGCAGCATCCTCCTGCCATGCTCCCACTGCAGCTGCTGGAGATCCATGTCTGCCATCAACCTCCCCACCACATTTTGTTGGAAGAGCTCAGATTGTGGTGTAAGATTCAAGGACAGGGCGAGGGTACATCCAAAAGTAGAAACAAGGAAATGCCTTGGGGACTGGCAATATGGCATATCAATCCTCTTCATGAATACAAGGTTTTCCTCCCCACCCTTGTCTTTGACCATTTCACTAGGAGATGCAGTCTGCTAGCTAAGCAGTGCTGGACCACAGGCAGCCATGGAGAGCATCAGAGACTTTTATGTTGATCGGGACATCACATAGAAAGTCTTTAGCTGCAGCAGAGCCAGACTGTGTGTCTCCCGGACACTTGATATTTATGTTATGGGATGAACAGTTCCCAGTCTACACATTTTTATGCATATTGTTGTTCCCTAACTACAGAGGAGACCCTAGTCTTGCAGGGGGAGAAAGCATAGAGTCTCCTAGCTAGGAACAGGAGTCAGTCAAGTTCAGGTTTGAAATTCTGGGAAGAGGGTGAAGGTGATTACCAGTTAGGATTGGATTACTATGGGGCTGAGAGAATCCTCTGTTAGAGGCTTAGAGTCCAGACAGGCTGGGTTCCATCTGTGTAACATGAATCACTTGGCCAAAACCAGCCAGGGAGCATGGACATATCAGAGAAATTTTTGCTTCCACCTGCTGAATATCACCTTGCTCCTTTTGACTGTTTCTCCCTTTTGTCTAGGGAAAATAGAAGCTGTAATTGTCCAAAAGCCTTGTGGGATTATTTCTTAAAACCCTAGATACTTCTCTTATATATAAATATAGCTACTCTGTAACTAATCTTTTCTGAAATAATTCATTATTTCAAAGGTATGACACTTCAGAGTGACAGATTACAGCTGCACTCCCCAGAAACTGCATCATGGGCAAGATAAGGCAGGACAATGGCCAAACAAGCCACTGAACAAACTGGCTGGGTTATATGGGATGAGATAAGAGGAAGACAGGGACAAGATACAACCTTTTATCCTCTGCATTCACAGAGACATTTGTCCCTTTTTCAGTGAAGCAGACCTTCTCCAACCAGCAGAACCTGCAGCAAACAACCTGAGCCTGCCTCTGCCTGGATGGTTTTGATGTCAAAGGCAGCTAAGCAAAGGGGGAGGCTGTTTTCATCCAGACCTCTGCTCTGCCACCAGGAACACTTGACATTGCCTGTGCTGGCTCTTTGACACCGAGGCAATGGCAAAATTAATGACTGTGCTTCTGAAAGGGATTTAAACGTTAATAATGAAGGCAGGGGGACAGCTCCGCAAGGCACATTAGCATTATTCAGGGCTCTGTTCACCTGGGATGATTACAAAAGGGCCCTCTTGTGACAGGGACCCATCTATTGGTAGTGGGATGGAGAGGTGAGAGAGCCTGTGCTAATCTTTCTGTAACTGTACCAAACTGACCCTGTCTCCCCTTCATTCCCTTTCCCCAAAGCCGTAGTGGGTCCAGGTATTTGGTTTCTCAAGAGCATGGCAAGATTTTTTGTTGAACCCACATCTCCCCCAATGTTGCACAGCTTTCCAAGTCACAGACAGATTACCTGATGTGTTCTCAAAATTTGCTCTCATTCCAAAGCTGTGTGTTTGGCTGTAGAAAACTAGAGAGAAATTTCTCTTGAGTGAAACAGGAAAGGGGCCAACACAGTTTTGTTTCCATCAGAGAGGCTGTCAAACTGTTCACAGGAGGAGCAGGAGCTGCATCCAGCTCCCCCTGTTCATCCAATGACAGCATTGAGGCAGAATGAAGTCAGAAAGCCAGTGGTCATAGGGTCTACCAGCTCCCACAGCGTCTTCCCCTGCCATCAGGGCCAGCTCCTTCCCCCACTCAGTAAGACAAATTACCCAAGCAGCCGTTCCCCACTCAACCTACAGAAATGTTGCAGAAAAATGAGCTTCTCAGTAGGCTGGTTCAGACATTATCAGCTCACTTATCCAACACCTAGATATCTCCAGACATTCAGAGACAGCATATTTGGCTCCTTGTTCATTATCTGTACTGCACTGTGGGTGGAGGCATTCAAAGACAAGACCTCCTGGCCCAAATCAGATGAATTGTGCCCTCTGAGTTCTCCTTACTTACTTTCTGGTTGCTGAACTTCTGACTTTGATCTCAGACCACAATTTTCAAGCTGTTTTCCATGATTATGAAGTACAGAATGTCCTTTTCTGTACTAAAAGCTTACAGTGGCAAGAATCCATTCGAATCCAGAGTCTGAAGCTTTAGAACAAATGTCCATTCTTGCAAACATCACAATAAAATTATGTGAGCCAGCAATACTTGAAATAACACCCAATTTATCCTCCTATTTCCCCTGTATGATTATGTCTTTCATTTTGCTGGGGTAGAGAACCTTGAAAACAAATGAGTCAGTTTGATTTTTGTTTCACAGAGAAGTTAATTTCCTGGCTCCTTTGCTCACTCATGACATTCGGCTGA